TATATTTAAAAAAAAAAAAACAAAAAAATTCAAAGGGTTCCATTTCTTTCTCCTTAGCTGCTCTTAAATGAATTCCATTCTGTTAAAGAGAAATAGAAACAGGCCCATTCAAATATCTGTACATGAAGCCCTGTGCAGTGGCTCACACCTGTAATGTGAAGCCAAGGACAGCAGATCACTTGAGCCCAGGAGTTCGAGACCAGCTTGGGCAATATGACAAATCTCGTCTCTACAGAAAATACAAAAATTAGGCGTGGTGGTACACGCTTGTAGTCCCAGCTACTTGGGAAGAGGCTAAGGTGGAAGAATCACTTGAGCCCAGAAGGTCAAGGCTACAGTGAGCCATGATTCTGCCACTGCACTCCAGCCTGGGTGACAGAGTGAGACCCTTGTCTCAAAAAAAAAATGAAACAAAACAAATATCCGTACATGAATGTTTATAGCAACTTTTTCATAGTAGCCAAAAATTGGAAGCACCTCAAGTGTACATGAATGGATAAACAAATTCCAATATATCTTTATAATAATATACAGATAATAATACAACTAATGTACAAATAATAAAGAACAAATTACTGATAACATGTGACAACACAGATGAATCACAGAACCATCATGTTATGAAGCCCCAAAAGAAGTCAGGAACAAAGACTTTATGCTCTGTGATTCCATTTCTGTGGACTTCTATAAAAACCAAAACTATAGGAGCAGAAAACTGATTGGGGGTTGCCTGAGAATAAACAGGGAATTGACTACAGAGGAGCATAAGATAACTTTTTGGAGTGATGGAAATGCTATTACAGGCAGTATAGATTTGCTTACTTTTATTGAATTATATACTTTAAAAAGGGTGAATTATATTGTATGTAAATTATGTCTTAACCTGATTTAGAAACAAAAAATTCAATAAATGGTTAAATTTAGGAGCAAATTTGTGAAGTGGAAATGATGAATCTGAGCTATATGTATATATAACATATATAAAGAAATAAAAAATTTATACAAAATAGGGACATAGATTTAAAAAATATGAAAGAGAAGTTGAGCTTTGTAGAACACACAAAACTGAAAGACACAACATATATTTAATTGTTATTCTAGTATATCCACTTCAAATGCTAGATAATGGCTACCTAAATTGAATATAGCAAAAATGTTAATATCAAGTATGAGAAGTCAGTACATGAGTGTTTGGCATATTATATTTTATACTTTTCTGTATTCTGTATTTTAATAGTATGCTTAAAATATTTCATAGTAGAAAAATCCCTGAGTTTCCGGTTCTACCACCACATCTCATTGCATTTTGCCTCCTGGGACATACCCACATTATATAGATATTTGCATAGTTGAAGCCATACTATATGTATGACTATTTTGTGTTTTCCTGTTTCCCTCATAAGTCATTTTTATTGACTTATTACGAAAGTACTATCATGTACTATTAAGAAAAGTTGAACTGGCCAGGCACAGTGGCTCACACCTGTAACCCCAGCATTTTGGGAGGCTGAGGTGGGTGGATCACCTGAGATCAGGAGTTTGAGACCAGCCTGGCATGGTAGTGTGTGCCTGTAATCCCAGCTACTCAAGAGGCTAAGGCGGGAGAATTGTGCAAACCTGGGAGGAGGAGGTTGCAGTGACCTGACATTCTGCCACTGCACTCTAGCCTGGGCAATAAAGTTAGACTCTGTCTGAAAAAAAACAAAAAAAAAAAAAAAAAAAAAAGGGAAAAAGTTATTCTGTCACTGCCTTCACATAATCTTGTATATTATTTTGGTTTCTTTCCTGATGTTCTTTTCCCCATTAATATTTTTTCGATTATGTTTGACTCAGAACTACATTCTAAGAATATTTTTATTGTATAGTTGTTTTTGCAATATCTTGTATAAAAATGTCTCATGTTCTTATCTATAATTTTTTTTGTTTTCGATGGAGTCTTGCACTGTCACCCACCCTGGAGTGTAATGGTGCAGTCTCAGCTCACTGCAACCTCCACCTTCTGAGTTCAAGCAATTATCTTGCCTCAGCCTCCCAAGTAACTGGGATTACAGGTGCCTACCACCATGCCTGGCTAATTTTTGTGTTTTTAGTAGAGATGGGGTTTCACCATGTTGGCCAGGCTGGTCTCGAACTCCTGACCTCATGATCTGCCCACTTCGGCTTCCCAAAGTGTTGGGATTACAGGCGTGAGCCACCGTGCCTGGCTTTATCTATAATCTTAAAGTGACAGGATAGTTCATAATTTCTGTCTGTAAGTTTGTATGTTTTGCATGTCAAGCAGTATGTTCATTCTTGACAATGAATGTTTTTAGATTTGAAATTTTATCCTACAAAATGGGTAAGAAGTTTAATACAAACTTTAACTATTTTACCAAATGTTGTGTTTGATAGATCCCGTTGAAGAGGAAGATGCAAATCTACTATTTGGTTCAATACAAGAAGTACTGAAAGCATCAGTTATGGCTGATGCAGATATTCTTTCAGAGACATTTCAACTTCTGATAGACTCTGCCAAGGACTTCAGTAAGAGACTGTGGGGCTTAGTGCCCGTTGGCTTGTATCTTCCAGCTCCTCCATTGTACTGTCCCCAGCCAGCTATTCTTAGTGAAGTAAGCTTATAGCATTAACTTTTTAATTAATTTAAAGTTGATTTTGTTGAGTTTTTAAAATAATCAACTGTTAATGGTATAATCTTAGGGAATGTACTAAACTACTGTTTAAGTTTCCTTATCTGTAAAATGCAGATTATAATAGTACCTGTAATGGCATTTTTGTGAGGATCAGGATATCCTGTAAAAGCTTCTAGATCAGGACCTGGGACATACAGTAATTATTTAATAAATGTTAAAATTATTTTAATAATATAGCACAATTAATCAATATCCAGATTTTTTAAAATTGGGCATTTGTTTAGGGTAACAAATGAAATAATGAGTATCAGAATTAGAAGCCATACATTGTCTTTGCCTCTTCTGAAAGACTTGGCTGGTGTAGTGGCTCACGCCTGTAATCCCAGACCTTGGGAGGCCAATGTGGGAAGATTGCTTGAATCAAGGAGTTTGAGACAAGCCTGGGAAACATGATGAAACTTTGTCTCTCTAAAATATAAAAAATTAGCCAGGCATCATGACAAGTGCCTGTAGTTTCAGCTACTTGGTAGGCTGAGGTGGGTAGATTGCTTGAGCCCAGGAGGCAGAGGTTGCAGTGAGCCGAGATTGCACCACTGCACTCCAGCCTGGGTGACAGAGCAAAACTCTGTCTCAAAAAAGAAAAGAAAGACTTATTTTTATTTGACTTTGGTTTAAAAGGTTATTTTTTCCTGCACTATTCAATTAATAGTTCTATATTATAAATACTATATTCCTCTCAGAAACTTTTTCCTTGCTCTTATTAAAAAATCATAACGTTATAATTAGCTGGTTCTAAGATTTATAGTGTTATAAATTACTGACGTTTGTGTTTTTAAGCATTTGATTAACATATTGAAGTGGTTTTGGGTATTATTTTTTTATTACCTCCTGTTTCAATATTGGCAACTTCTACTTGTATCTAGTTTTTTATTTCTCATTTGTTCTCTTTAGTTATATTTCAATAGTTTAAAACATTTTACTTGTTGATATTACAAATGGAAGGAATAAAACATCCGTGGCATTTCTCAATAATTCATCATTTCTCTTACATCTGAGTCTTTAATAATTGATTAGAAATTTGAAATGACATTTAAAATTTTTTGGATAGCCTATGCTGATAATAGTTTGCGTAGTTTGTGTGGTTACTATCTTTATTAGTGCCTCATTTTATTCTTTTATATTAGAGTAATTCTCCATGGTAAGATTTCTTCTAAATGTCATTGTATATCAGTTAGAACCCCTTGTGTTGCAAGTAATAGAATACCTGGTCAAAATGGTTTAAACAATAAAGGCATTTATTAGCTCACATAATGAAGAAGCCCAGTGATAGGGCAGGCTTCTGATTTAGTTATGTTATCAAAGACTTGGGCTCTTTCACTCAAGTTTGTTTTCTGAGGTGTCACCTGAAGACTAGCTCCTCTTGTGGGAGCAGGATGGCTGTTAAGGAAAGTTTCTAAGGATGCCTTCTCCATGTCCACAGCCACAGTGACTGAGACAAAGAAAAGCGGCAAAATTATTTCTGTCCCAGCATTCCAAGCAAGAGGATTGAGATTCACTCTTACTGAGATTGGCTTAGGTCACATGCCTGTCCTTTAAACAATCACTGTGGCTAGGCTTAACACAAGGTACTTCTTGGCCTGTGAACAGAACCTTCCTTGAGGTGGGATGAGCTTTCCCTAAATCATATTAGCCATGTAGGAGATTGGCAGATATCCAAATAAAAACTGAGTACTGTTAAGGAAGAAGGATGTTGGGGAAGCAGATGTTTACAATACTCACATTATCTCATTATCTGGGAAAATAATCTTTAGCTACTGGTTTGAGTAGCATTTATTCAACAAACATTTGAAGACAAATGACAAGGCCCTTTCTTCCTCGTGGGAGTTCTGAGTACAGTGGGATACAGGCATAAATTGATATGGAGTAAGTTGGTGAAAGCTGCAATAGAAATGTGAAAGTGCTGTTGTAGCACAGAGGGATGGGCTTCACAGATGAAGCGATATTGAAATATAAGTAGGATTTTTCCCAGTAGAGGAAGAGAAAAGGCATTCTGCTTAGAAGAATCTGTAACATTCCACCAATGGAGTCTGGAGTGGCAGGCTTTAACTGTTCTAGGATAAGACTGGGAACTAGGGTCAGCTTATCCCTTTACACTGAGGGGAGAGAAACTTTTCCTCGATACCAGAAATAGCTGTAGTTGAAAATCTCAGAGCCTGTGCCTCAGAATTTTTCCCTTATGTATCTCCAGGAACATTCTAGTTTGAGAAGCAGTGAGCATCATCAGCCTATGTAGGGTTTTTTATTTTTATTTATTTATTTATTTTTTTAGACAGTGTGTCACTGTGTGGCCCAGGTTTGAGCGCAGTGATACGATCATGGCTCACTACAACCTCCAACTCCTGAGCTCAAGCAGTTCTCCTGCCTTGGCCTCCCAAAGTGCTGGGATTATAGGCGTGAGCCACTGTGCCCAGCCCCATTAGCTTATCTTTATTTTCACTTTAACATTCTAAATTTCCTTATTACTACCCACTAAAATGGATTGTTTTATTTTCCTCAGGAAGATGGTGATGATCTTCTTTTAAAAGCTGAAAAAGATAATCGCCAAAAGGTATCTGGAATCCTTCAGCGTGTTCTTCTGCTTTTCCGGGCGGCTCAGTGCTCTTTTCCTATAGCACAGTGGTATATCTTGCAGTTGAGGTGGGCAAGAAAAGTCATGCATAAGGTATGGAAATGTCTTAGTCATTTATGTGCTGTGGTAACTGAAATATACTAATATTTATATTATTGTTTTTATAATTGTGACTTTTTTCAAAGAGTCTTGCCCTATAAATCTGTAAATTTCAGGTTTATTCATAATAAGCTAACTATAAACAGACCAGATTCTTCCCTTTGAAAGGTAAGGACTCTGAACTGGGTCTCTAGGTTAGTTCCACCCTGTCTGGCAAAAGATAGTGTAATCTAGTTCGTTAATTCCAGGGAATTACAGTTACTTTCCCCCAACTCCCCTATCATTGAAGATTGAAACTCAGGACTTTATCCCATTTCTCCTTGAGGTGTTGTCTGTGTTCTGTGGGGGCTTCTGTGGATTCAGAGTATGGAAAGTTATAGTTCATTCTCATTTGTTTTCATTCAGTAGTCTCCACTAGTCAGGGTCTCCGCCTTGCTGTTTTCTGAGATGTGCAATTCAGTTTGATTCCCAGGTGTTCATCCCCTTTTATACTGACTTCAGCTGAGCTTCATTCTTATTAGAGCTCCAGCCAGATAGGACATCTGGTATGTCTGTTTATCCAGCTGTAAGTCCTTTGTAGGCCTGCTATGTCTCTCTGTGTCTCTGTCTCTGTCTCTCTCTCTGTCATATGGAAATAAATTTCATC